TTATCACATGGTTGACCTGTATTTAAACCCACGTAGCACCCCCCCCCCCCCCCCTTTTCATCCTTTTTTCTTTGAGCCACCATCTCATTATGTAGTCCTGGTTTGCCTGGAACTCGGCAGACCTTGAACTCAGAGAGATCGGCACGCCTCTCCCTCCCAAGTGCTGAGACTAAAGACATGCACCACCATGACCTGCTCTAGGAGTCCATTCTTGTGGTACCTGGGCGTTAGGGGACAGACTGACTTCCTATAGTCCTGTCGTCACTTTCTCCTTTTTCCGGTCTCCTCCTGACTCCAGTTACAGACTTCCTTTATTTTATTTTATTTTTTATCATCAAACCCCAGCCCACTCGGGCCCTCTGAAGCCGAGTGTCAGTCAGCACAACCCCTTTCGGACGCGACCGGTGTCCTGCACTAACACCCACCTGAAGATCGTGCCCATTGGGTCTGTGCTGCTTTCAAGAGGCCAGCTGGGACCCTCCCCTTGGGGCTCAGCCTCTCACATAGACCTCAGATGCCTGGTGCTCTCCCAGCTGAGATCCCTGCCCACCCCGTCCCACCCTTATAAAGCCTGAGCTGCACATGCTCTGGCTATTGTACTCACCAGCTTTTAGTGCTTCCTTAAAGGACTACCTGGAGATTCCAGGTCATAGGCACTCACAGCAGCAGCCACAGGAGGCTGTGAGCTCAGGGGCCTTTGGGGACCTTCGGGACCTTTGGGACCTCTTCTACGACAGTGTTACTGAGGCTTGTCATGCACATGTCAGGAGTGAGGACACCCGCTAAGGCTCCCCAGAAGGGAGCCAGTATCCTCTCCACCTTCTAGATGTGTGGCTAGGTTAGATCTGGCAATCTCCAGGCTCCTGCATGGTTGGTCTTTGATGCATGCCCTCAAGGTGTCTTGTCCTGGCTTGCTGCTCAGCTGGGATGGGGTCCTCTTCCTTGGGGAATCCTTTCTCTCCCTGAGCCCAGGGATAAAACAAATTTATCCATGCTTCCATAACTTAAAATAAAATACAATTGTTAAAAATAGGACCATGTGGTTGTGGTGATGCAGGTCTTTATTAATCACTGGAGAGACAGGGGCAGGAGTATATCTGTGAGTTCATGGGCAGCTTGATCTACAAAGTGAGCTCGAGGACAGCCAGGGCTGTCCAGTGAGACCCTGTCTAGTACAAAAAGAAGGATGATATATATCTCAGCATCTGCTGTTTGTGTTGCACACCACAGAACTGCTTTATTCTGAGATTAGATGGGGAGTTGCCAATAAAGCTTGTTGCATCAAAATTCATATTTGTAAACACAATTCACACACTTTTGTTTCATAATTTTAAAAAGACTCAAATGTGTTTCCTTACATGGTATTTAACTTCCGTATTTTAAGGATATTTGCGTTTTGAACACTGCTTTATAGACAACACTTTTATACAAATACAGCTGGACTGTAGTAGAAAGAAAGACGCTACAGAGTGAACCTTGAGGCAACACACAGATCCTTTGCTCTTGTGGGATGGCGCTCTTCTGGTGCCATCTATTACAGGAAAAGCAAGGTGCAGCTATTTTAAACTTGCTTCTGTGGCTCCAACCTTTATAACTAAGAAATCCACTGTGAATTAACAATATAATTAGTTCAAAATCAAGAGCATTCTGGCCACTGGCACACCTCCACCAATACCGCTGACAAAGCTCGCTGAAAACAACCCACTGTGGTAACAGACAGACACAGCACTGTGGTAAAGCTGTAGGGGATAAACTATTTGGACTGTATGCCGTCTGCCCACTATTATTCTGTCTCTCCATGTTATCATACTCTTATAGTCTAGAATAAAAAAAGCACAATCTCCTAACACGTCACAGGTTTCAGGAATGGTCCAAGTGTAAGATGAGGAATGACGGCAACAGGAATTACTGTGGGGCGGGAAGAGACGGCCTGAAGCTACAGAGCAAACGATGACAGATTTAAAGGGAAAAGTGGGCAGTGAGGTAAGGGTGTGACCTGAAAAATGATGCTAGATTCATCATACTGAGGAAGCTCTGAGGTCAGCTGTGGAAGGAAAGTTTTGAAAGGTGAGCTGGAGCCAAGTTACAAAAGACCAGGGCAGGTGAGGCAGTTCAATGGGTAAAGGCACTCGCTTCCAGGCCTGTCTACCTAAGTTCAATGCCAGGACCCACATGATGGAAGGAAAGAACCAATTCCTGCAAGATGTCCTTTGACATCCACACTGACTTTGTGGCATGCATCCCCCCCCACTATAAATAACTGTGAAAAATCACACAAACCACCTTGATACCTTAGATGTATGGACTCGGTTCTGAGGGATGGGTCTGGGATTCTGGTATATACAAGAATCACTTGGCAGGAAGACAGGCGACTAGACAGATTCTGACTCCTAAAATGATTTAGAACTGCATTTCAAGAGATTCCCTCAGTGAGTCCGGCACAAGCTGAGATGTTATCTTGTACAGAAGTAAGAATCCCTACTGTTGCCAAGACTCTGTGATGGTTTGAATGCTTGATCCCCAGTTGGTGGAACTGTTTGGGAAGGATTAGGAGGTGTAGCCTTGTTGGTGGAGATAAGTACTAAGGGTGGCTTTGAGGTTTCAAAAGCCTATACATTCTAGTTCTCTCTCTCTCTCTCTCTCTCTCTCTCTCTCTCTCTCTCTCTCTCTCTCTCTCTCTTTCTCTCTCTCTCTCTCAATATGTGAGTCTCAGCTATTGTTCCAGCACGCTTGCCTGCTTGCTACCATTGCACCATCATGGTTATGGAATAACCTCTGAAGCTGTAACAAAGCCCTCAATAAACTTTATTTTCTAAGTCCCCTTGGTTTTGGTGTCTCTTCACAGCAATAGAAAAGTAACTAAGACAGATTTCAATTGTCCTATAAGCTCTGAAAACTTTTATTTTTTTAAAGCTTTTTGAGACAGGGTTTCTGTGTGTAGCTCTAGCTGTCCTGGAACTCGCTCTGTAGACCAGGCTGGCCCCAAACTCATAGAGATCCACCTGCCTCTGCCTCTGGAAAGCTGGAATTAAAGGCATGAGCCACCACTGCCGATTCTGAAAACTTGTTAACTTTTAGGTTCACAGGTCTCTCCTCTGACTTTATGTTATTTTTCTTTAGTATTTTCAATTGCTTTTCATGTTTTATTTATTGACTGATTTCATGTATGGATGCACAAGTGTCACAGTGTGTGCGTGGAGACCAGGGGACAACTCGTGGGACTTGGTTCTCTCCTGCCACATGGGTCCCAGGAACTGAACTCAGATCATTAAGCTTGGTAGCAGGCACCTTTACTCCTGAACCATCTTGCTGGCCTCTTGTTTATGTATTGAAAAGTACCTTTGCTCAACGGTGTTTGTCTCTCAACCTCTCGGCTGTCTTTAGGGCTATCTTTAGAGTTTCTGGCCCCTTGGACTTTGCTCTTTCTTTGCAAGTTATCACCCAAGGGTCTGGCTTAGGAATAGTGGATACATTAATGATCCGTTGGCTCCATGCTGACAGAATGAACGTTACCAAATAGCATTATCAAATACTGCAGCATTCCTTGCCACTTGTCTTGGAGAATAACAACCACACTGTTACCACAAGAGAATGTCATGTTAATTTTTACTCTTGGTAATCAGAACTCACTACAGTTGATTGACTGTATCAGGAACCTTGATTCCAACCTCTGAAGTGTGAACTTTGTCCTGCAGATAAAGTCACAACAGCTTCTAAGCCGTGCAGTACCATAAAGACGTGTTCTAGAAACACTGCCTTGAAGACAGCTTCCAAGAAGGTGTATGAGCTGTCAAAATGAACACTATTTAAAATCATTCTCAAGGTGGGTGTTCAAAACGAAAAGGAAACTTTTCTCGTATCTCTTCTTCAGAAACTATTTTTTTTTTTTTTTTTTTTT